AGAGAGAGAGAGAGAGAGAGAGAGAGAGAGAATGTTTTACGGAGCATGTTGTCCCAGCACGTGAGACATGTATTTACTAGGCTAATTAATGTCCTGTCTTGTTGTGCATTTGCATGAGTGCACCTTTAGGTCTAACTTTTGTTACGTCTACTGCCATTGTTAACAACCCAGACAAATTTCTCCCTGCGAGATTAATAAAGCTTGTCATTGTCATTGTCTCTGTCACTGTCATTTTTAATCTTTATCACTTAAAAGGACCTTTATTGTGTTGCAAAAGCCGTAAAACTTTTGTTTAACGTGAAGATCTTTGTTATTGAAGAGATCTGGGACAGGCGGGCATAGGTTAATGTGATGGTAAATATAATGAGAGTTTTACGTCTGCATTGACCCAATTGGTCGCTTTTAAGGACAAGCGGGCTAACCCAGATTTCGGGGATTTCCAGAAATCTTGACCTACACCAAAAGTGGGCAATGCCCTACCTATAGGAGAAGTTTGGTTTCATCAGTGTGTGTATTTGTTTGGTTATAGAGAAAACGCTCTTTGTTTTTTTAAGAAACTGAAAAGGGGGCACCAACTTTACTACCTTCAATTTTCTCAGAACAGCATTTTTTCGGGATAGCTCCCTTATGCTTAAAATCGACCAATTAGTCATCTGACTACTCCGACCCAGCCTGTCAACAAACAATGCTGGAGGCAGGCAGACACATGGCGGTCGTAGGAGAATGATTGTAATAATGATTGATATGATTTCAGTGATTGTTAGAATTGTAATAATTATAGGCTAAGTGTTTTACTCCCCCGTCGACACAAATAGATCCTCTGGCTGTATCGAGCCTACTTTTCTGCGTTTTCTGACCACGAGGAATATTATAGGCTTTAGCTTAATGATAATTATTTGCCGCTACGAGCCTTTCTGTCATGTCTAACTAGAGATGTGGGTGATGCAATGCCCCAGGGGACAGACAGTTATATTTATATTTTAGATGCATATACAAACAATTATATAATGTAAGTATATTATGTATATTTACATGTCTTTCTGCCTGCCTGTCTGTCTGCCTACCTGTCTGTCTGCCTGTCTTTTCCTCTTTTTCTCGTCCTCTTGCCACCCCTCCCCTTCTCCCTCTCTCTCTCCCTCTGTCTGTCTGTCTGTCTGTCTGTCTGTCTCTCTCTCTCTCTCTCTCTCTCTCTCTCTCTCTCTCTCTCTCTCTCTGTCTCTCCTGCATTCATTCCCTCTTTCTCTCTCACTCTTACTTGGCGTTTACATATCCAGTAAGCGACACATCAGAGGTCAGCCCGTATGCTGCAATATCAATGTCGACTTCAAACTTTGGCATCTCTGTGGAACAAATACAGAAACACAAACATACATAAAATCAAATATGGTACATTATTAGTTTCTTATTAATTGAATTATGCACATAGACACAATGAATGTCATTTTGCGCGGAGTAATAGAAATGTAGACTGATCGAAACAATAATGGATAAATAAATAAGAGGGGCCTATTTAACCACCTGCGAGGTGTTTATGTAAAATTATTGTGTGATAATAGTAGAATGGCCATAAAAGAAACGTAACTGTAAAATGAATGTACTGCACTCAAAATATTAGCATTGTCTGTTAGGCTTCTTTAGTATGTTATGTTGGAAATTACTAAAATCCTAGTCGACATTAATTAAGTTATTGCTGAAACAAATTCAGACAAAACACAGACTTAATCTATTTATTGGCCAAACAAGGGAATCTTCTCACCGTAGTTCTTCACTTGGAACGTTTGGTACATCGTGTCTTGTGTGCCCTGTCAGCGAAAGATGGGAAGAAAAGAAGCAATAAAGTTTGAATTGTGTTAATACCAAATGCACACTGCCAATCGAATTCAGTTGAGTTGAGTCAAGGTCAACCAGATTTATCGTCATGTAGGTACAAACGCTACCATCGTGGCATAATTCAATCGAATTCGATTATGAACTTCAAAACAAATTATGCGTTCGTTTTTCAAGGTCTCGATTCGAACGATCGGACGTTTACAGCCAATCACCAGATCATTTGTTTGTGGCAATTGACTGTGAATATTTGGAGATGCAGGTTGTACGCTTCTTTAGAATTATAAAGTTTTATCTGATATTTTGGACCTTTCGAGTTACTAAGACTATGAGGTCAGAAATCAAATGTTCTTTCTACTCTATCAAAATCGTAAGATTATTCAACGGAGTCGTTATCAAAATATTCAAAAAATTGCATTCGAAAAAGCTTGACATGTAGTGATACTCAACATTTTTAAATTTCAAATTTCTCAAAACTAGGTACTGGGCAGATATAACTTTGTAATTCTAGGAGAGTGACCAGTAGATATAGAAAAGTATCGACATTACTCATGTTTGAGGGATTCATGCATCTCAATACAGCAATCGTGATATGCAGTAGTCGGTACTTGAAGTCGTTATTGAAGGAATCAAGAAATTATTGATTTGTGAACTGTAAGTTTTGTATACTAAAACACCGATCTCAAGTCAAAGTTTTCTATTCTTGTCAAACATGACACAATAATAGAGGAATCTATTTATGGCGCACACTAAAGCCGACAATAATCAGCCCGATCCGACCCGACCCGACCCGATTCGATCTGACTCCACCTGATCAGATCCGATCCGATCAGACACGAGCCCATCAGATCTGATATAGGCACACAGTATAATCAAGAGTATTTAACAATCCAAGATGATCCCTAGACAGAGCCGTCAGTTACAATCTGACAGTTAGTTATAATACTGCATCTTGTTATTTCGTGCTTACGTGGATTAACGTTGTCCCTGGCTTATTTGTTATCAAAAAATGTCTTGCATATTAAACGTTCCGTCTACAGATGTGCGTCTGTGTGTTTGAGGGTATGGGATTCAAAAGGGAGGGGAGAAAGATAGGGGATAAAGGGAGGGTTAATGTATCGGCGATTGGAAATGGCGTAAGTCTGTCTATCTATCTATCTCTCTATCTCTCTATCTCTCTATCTATCTATCTATCTATCTATCTATCTATCTATCTAT